CGAGCGTCAAAAACAAAGTACTGAGTTCGCTCGAGCGCAAGAAGTCCCGCTCGAGCTCCAAGACACAAGAATAAAGTACATCCGCTCGAGCGTGAAAACCAGTTCGCTCGAGCGTAGATTTTCCCCTCCCAGAACTTACACCAAAAAAGTACTACCCGCTCGAGCGCCAACAAGCCCGCTCGAGCGCGACCCGCTCGAGCGCAGGAAATTCGCTCGAGCGTAGAAATCACACCTGCAGAAGTTTTGCAGAGCACGAAAATACTGAGAGTGTGCAATCTCCGCTCAAGCGCTAGACGACCCCCGCTCGAGCGGAACGACCAAAAACCCGGCAACAAGAAATTAGACCAAGGCTCAACCCACCTGCTCGAAACATGCCCAACACATCCTAAAACTCAATCAAATGGAATTAAAGGACGACAACAAGGTAGACATAACTACCAACTCCACGGAACCAAGTCCGGAATGCAACTGAACAGAAAAGGGAATACTGGAATCGCTATAATCTTGCCCATGATCACTACTTTCTTCCACTTCTTCATCCTAACTTGGTTGAACCACCTCATCACTAAAGAGCATCTTATGATATCTATCATCAAAAGTCTCTTTCATTCCCACACTAGTTGAGTAACCAACTTGTACATAGTCATAGGATGGTTGTCCAATTGCCAAGTCTCTTTGGTATTGATGTCTGAAATTTGAAATGCCCTTCTTTTGGTGCTTCCTAACCAGCAAAGGTGGCATGTGAGTAGAAGGCAAGAAGTGCTCATTGAGCTTCTTCCTCATCTTCCTCCACTCTCTAACCTTTTCTTGGCCTTTTCTTTGCCTACCAATTTGTAATTGTTTCCACCAATTGGAGGCACGACCTTTGAGGCTTTAACAGACTAATTTCACCTTCTTTACTTCTGGCACATCATTACACTCCAAGTTACTCTCAATTGTCTTCAACCATTCCTCGAACACATTTGGATTGTAGCTTCCACAGAATTCGAGAAACAATAAATCCGTGACGGTGTCATTCCACTCAGAATGTAACTCGTGTGAATATGCTCTACACCTACGCAGAGCATCAAAGAAATCATCAAGTTGATGATCCTTGGAACCATTACTACCTTTGGGATGAAGTTGTAAGTGTTGCACCTTTCCAACCAAGGTAGCCATTTGTGAACTCAACTCTTTAATCTCATTTTGTTGATTTTGGTTTCCAATGTTCCTTTCAATTGAGGGATTAATCTCGATTTCTTCACCCAAAGTCGGAACATAAGCTCTACCACGGCCACCTCAATAACCTCGATCTTGTTGAGCCATATACAAGCAATGCAATATGCAAGGTATAAAGATCAACAAAATTCAACCCATATATAAGCCAAACCTGAAAACAAGAACAAGATTCTAGAACAAGATTTAGGTAATCAAGATTCAATGGTCCAAGAACCAAGATTGCAACCCAATGTGAAGAACTAAAAATCAAAACCAGAAATTGTGTCTCACAGTATCAATTCAGGTCACAATATCAATTCAGAATAGTTCCAAGGAACAAATAAAGGTTGGAACAGTTTACCCAAATCAAGCCGAAGTGACAGCAATGCAAAAATTTGTTCTAGTCTTCACAAATCAGAAGGAAATTGCACTTCTAAGAATCTGGTTTGTGTAGAAGAGTCACACCCAGAGTTACGAAGAAATCAACAAGTCGCAACCTGAGTTTCAAGCCCGGACTAAGTCGCGATGGTCGAACAAGCCACGAACTGGAACCGCAAGTCCCACCCACGTCTGATTTCGATGAACAAGATCAAACACAGGTCTGATTTCAATATGCGAAATCAAATCGCAGGGCCAAATCGAGGTTGAGATTCGACCTGCAAAGACGACCTACGAACACAAGAGCAACGAGGAACTTCAGTCGCAAGTCAAGGTCCAAATGGAAGCTTGATCCGCAAAGCTTGATCTGCAACTTCAATCAAGAACAAGATCTACGACTTCAACCAAGAACAAGACACTATGCAAAGGCTACAATCAATTCACAAAAGAGAAACACTTCAATTGAAGGTTCCTAATGATCCTCCAATTGCTATAACTCAACTGTAATCTCCAAATTTCATTAGGGAATTGAAAAGAATTCTGGGTTTGGTAGCCAGAATTAGGGCTAAACTAGGGTTTCAGATTTTCAATCAACAAATTTGGTTCTTGCAATTGAACAGGGTTCTTGAAATCCTTCTTGCAATCTAGAATAGGAACAAAGGACCAATCCTAGAGCTCTGATACCAAAATGATGGAGCCAATCAAGAAAGAGATTTCATTAGAGAAAAAATCTCAAAATAGGTACAAGAGCTCTCAAACTCTAAAAATATTCAATATCAAAATATCTTAAAACTGAATACTAGAGAAGTCTAACCACCTATTTATAGGATAACAGACCCAGCTAATTCTAACTAACTCTTATGGTGCTAAACATAACAACCACACTAGTTCTAACTACATCAACCAGCCAACTTTGCATGTGCGGCCCAATTTTCTGAACCCAAAAATCATTCTGCAGCTGGCTGCACACGAGCCTGCACGTGCAGCATCCCTGTTCCAAGGCAAAATCATGTTGTTCTTATTGCTAACACTTAGTGCACTCCCATGCTTGCATTTGACACTCATTTTACACTTGTTTGAGAATTGAATTAAGCCTAGAATAGCACTTAACACTTGAAAGAAGTTTAGAAGAACACTAAAGCCTCATTTGGAAACATGTTATTTTAGTAACTTTTTGGCCTTTTATGAAAAAATGTGCAGAAAAATAGAAAGTGATATGACAACTTATAATAATTTTTTGGTTTTTTAGCTAATTGAAAGCTACCAAGCAAGGCCTAAGTTAAGTTTAAGCACTCGGTTTGTAATGTTCATACAAGTAAAGTTAGGTATTTCAATGTCTTGTTCTTGCTCTTTGTAGGTTAAGCTTTGAAGTGCTTACTCTTTTGTTCAAAGGAGTCATTTGTGAGTAGTAGTGTAATAAAGTTACATTTAATAAGTTATGTTCAAATGCAAACCTATGCTATATTTATGAAAGTTAAGTTATTGTTTCGCTATGAATAAACATCACATATTCTTGTATCATGTATTAAGATGACACCTTGGAATATGTTTTTGTTATTGGAAAATCATGCCAATAACTTCTTGCTAATTGAACTCCTCTTGCTATCTTTGTGTGGGTCTTGATGTTCTCGAACTCTTTATAATGTTCATCGCTATGTAAATGCTTGCAAGTTAAGCTTGTTATTATCATGATCAAATTATGCTATGTTCAAACTATGATTCCATGCTTGCTTTTATTGAAGATTATCGGTGTTCATTCATTTACTACTTAACTATATTACTATTCACTGGGTAATGGCTCACCCCTCTCCCTTATATTAATGTAGGTGATGAAGAAGATCATGGTTCTGATAAGAAGTTGACTTAAAAGTCTTCTCTTTTGTTTTTGTTTTTGCACTTTTGGAAGTTGTTTGTAACGTCAATAATATAGATTTGTACTTAAGTTTTGTTTTATAAGCGTGTGTCATGGATGATGTACTTTTCGTTTCCTTTTGTTGTTTGGACTTTGTAGTAATGTAAGATATCAATAAAAGAAGGATGTATGTTTGTTTTCATATGACTCACGCACATGCTCTTAATGGACTCTTGGTAATTAATGAACAAATGATTTCTCATAAGCCCTAAGTACTGTTAATCCAGCCTTGTCTTATCATGTTAGGCCTTCGGTAGTCAAGCACTACTAGCCAGTCACAATGATATCCTATTTGGGACGGAATGGGATAGTGACATTTTATGAGCCTATGCCAAGTAACCCAACAAGCCCTTACATACCAACTAATAACTTCCACTAATTATTTAACATTCAGCTCTATTTACCTTAATCAAACAAAGAATACTAAAAGTTACCCATTTCCCAGCCCTCAACAAAGAGGCAAATTACAAACTTAAAGACAAACACATACATTAACTAAGTAGCTAAAACAGGTATAAATAGAAAATAATAATTAAACCCATAAAGGAAGAAGAGTAAGATAGAGAGAACCAAACATGAAGAATGACACCCAACCAAAATTTGGCCCTAGGGGCAAGCCAATAATGCGGTTGCTCTGCACCCTAGATTTGGGCTAAAAATAAGGCCCCCCATCTAGAAATAATAGGCCTCATTTGTCAACTATGCATTTTAGCCAAAAAAGTTATTAAAATAGCATGTTCCCGAATGAGGCCTTATACTCAAATTGAACACAATTCTTTTTGTTGGGTCGAAATTAAATGGTGACCCCCAATTATTTTGATTTTAACTTACCAAAATCCACTTAAGTCCAGCTCCAAACAACGAACCCTAAAACAAAATTGTTTTTATTAGTGGACCCCTTACTATTTTGAATTTAACTTACTATCACTTGCTACAAAATCCAAAACAAAACTAGTTTTATTGATGGATAGCCCAAAAATATTGATGCATTAACAGTAATGTTTAAATGATACTCTGGTGTAGCTTGGCATAGCTGGTTTAATTTTTTATATTGCACTATTATTATTTTATTTATTTGTTATTATTATTGTAAACTGTTGAAATATAAAGCAACGAGATTTTATCTCTTTTCTTTTATAGTAAGGCCTCGTTTGGCAAGTGTTCCTTTTAGTCAAAAAGTTACTAAAAAAATCAAAAAGCAAACAACCCATACCAAAAAGTCAAAAATTTCCTTCTCTCTACTTTTTGCACATCTTTTCGTAAAAAACCAAAAAGTCATCCCAAATATACTAGTTTTTTTGACATCACATTTTAGCCAAAAAGTTACTAAAAAAGTCTGTTCCCAAACGAGGCCTAATTTTATTTTTTAAGCTAATATTATATTTTTGGGGATTTTTTTTTTGAGGTCTCTGATATTAAGATTTTATAGCATAAAGGACACCAAATATTTTCATAATGTCTAAGGTACCTCAATTTAATCCAGAGAAATTTCATCCAGAGAAATTTCATCCAGAGAAATTTCTCCCCAAAATTTCTCTGGACCTCTGAAAGAATTTCTCTCCAGAGAACTAGAATTTCTCTGGGAGGTTTCTCTATTTCTCTGGACCTCCCAAAGAATTTCTCAGAGAAAATTCACAGAGAAAATGCCAAATTTCTCTAGACAACAATAAGGACTAGTGCTTTGCTTCAGAGAAAATTGTGTAAAAAAAACTACACCTTGATATGCACATGTGAACAATTATAAACCTTTAAATTTAAATTTAGGTATAAAAATGCATTGTGCTTCACATAGTATGCATGATTCCTTCATTTCAATATAGTTAATCCATAGCAAATGAACATAGTAATGATCAATCAGAGATACTTACTGGACAATAGCTCTTCTCGCTTTCCAGAATTATTTCTGACCTAAAACTCCTACAACATCATCTGGGGATATATCCACACCTAATATAGATTCCACAATGGAGTTGTCTGATATATTGCCATTTCTGTCTACCTTTTCCACTTGTAAAGCCCATACACTTCATGGCAATTGCTGACATTTTCAAGTCTACTAGGACTTCCATGATTGACATTTTCAATTCTCTAGTTTGGACTGAATTTTCTCTGGGTTGGTCTAGAGAAATTCTCTGATTTGGACTGAATTTTCTCTGGGTTGGTCCAGAGATTCTCTGGTTAGAATTTCTCTGGATTTTTTAGAGAAATTTTGAAAATTTCTCTGACCTTCCCCTAACCTTTCCACTCTCCAGAGAAATTAAGGCCTTCCCTCTCTCCAGAGAAATTCCCTCTCTCTCTCCTTGAACAGCTGAACACAAAGTTCACTCCATATGAAATTGGTTCCTCTCCAAATCTTTCTTTAGAGAAAAATCTCTCTCCATCCTCAGAAAATTTGATCTAGTAGTGAAGTTGTGGAGTTCTTGATCATCAATACAAAAATTTATCAACCTCTGTACAAAGGAGACCGTTCCTGAACGACTTTCGACGTCTTCGATTGCTGGAAAAACTTGATTGGGCTAGGAAAATACAATCCCCTGCTTTTCACTGACGACGATCTCATGTTTTCGGTGCTGGAATCCGACGCTATCGGAACGTATACAAATCTCGATCTCATCATCATCACCTGGTGTGCGTAATTCTTCTCCGCCTCGATCTCGATCTTCGATTTTCCGTCTTCTCTCTCTTCTTTGCATTCCTTGCTCTTCTGCGCCCTGAACACAGACCAAAATGACGATTTCCTCCGATTAACCGGCGGCGCCACTTCGCCTTCTCCACCATCGTCGCTGCTGCCGATGTCGTCGAGAGCGGCCGCCTTGCACTGCTGGACCTTAATCAATATGCAAGTTGCATCACAATTTCTGATCTTGTTCATCAAGGAGGTTTTGCTCGATAGACGAGAGAGATAGAGCAAGATTCGGTAATGGAGAAGTTGGCAGAGAGAGAAGTCAAATTTCTCTGTGTGGGGTTGAAGGACCTTAGACATTATAAAATATTATTGTGGATCTCTTCCATTACTATAAATGGGAGAGGGACCTTAGACTAATTTTCCCTATATTTTTCTAGCGGTATCTAAAGATGGAGAGGCTGAGGGGTTCATTTAGGGCCCAAAAAGCTGAAGGCCGGCCGGGTTAGGCCGGACCTGCACCCAATGATGTCAATAAATAACACAGAATTCAAACTACAAGATTTCAACATTCAACACATACTAACACATCAAAAAATACAAAATCAACTAATGAAAAATCATACAACACAAAACCATACACACACATCTATACCTATTATATAAAAAAAAATTCTACAACCAAAATTGTTTCAATTTCATTTTCTTTTCTTTTCTTTTTAACTTATTTTTTAGATCTATCAATTATTTCAATTGTAGATTTCATAGCATACACATCATATGTGAACAAGCTCGAATCAGAATGAAACGAATTGAAGGAGTAACATACCTTGCCATCGATGACGACCCAGCAATCGTCCTTGGTGTTGTGTTGGGAAGCTTCTCGCATTGTATATAGCTTCGTTAGTGTCGGCATATTTGTTAAGTCAATCTATATATGTGTGTGTTGGGGAGGGGACAAAGACTGCTTTCTCTTCTGTCCTCCCCAACAAAACAGAATACGCTGAATCTCTCTCTCCCGCTCTCGGGTTTACAGGTACGCCCTTTTATCGCTTTTAGATTTTAAGCCAACCTGACATCAGATTCCAAGGGAGGGAATCAATTCAAACCCTAAAACGAATAGGTGTCTGTGCGAGGACAGGGTCTAAGTGGGCGGGCCCATTGGCCGACCACAATTTAAACATAACCCAAAGACATATTATCCACAAATTTTTTTTTTTTTCAAAGAGGTGTAATGTATTTAGTTTACAAAATTTTACCAACAAGCCCATAGCTTAGTTGGTAAGGGTTATACTAACTTAATCAAGATCTCGGGTTTGAGATTTGGGAACGCAGTTATGTTAAAAACTTGTTGGAAGAGCTTTGCCGTCCTTGTGATCCTACCTGGTTCGAACCGGATTAGTCGGGGTCCTGTAGGCTTCGGGATACCGGTGGTTTAGACCTAAAAAAATAAATAAATAAATAAAATAAAGTTAACAAACTTTTGTTTATATTAAAAAACTCTATGCGTGTTTTTCTTTTCTTTTTTTTGTACTTTCGTTCTTTTTTATCTATTTTTTTTTTTTTTAAGATTTCTGACGATCAGCGATCACACCTACTTTCTTCTCTCTCTCTTGTTGATATATAGTTATCGACGATTGGCAACCACCATCAATGAGGATTCATTGGCAATCACCGACCACCGACTTCACCCTCACTAACAGCAAAGGAGATGAGTTTCCAACGAAGAATCATAATTCTAAGTAAATCTACATCATATCTACTAAATCTAAATAAAAAATAATTGCCAGAGTATAATCGTCCCTCTATATTTGTCTATCTCCTTCGATCTTCTTCTTTTTCTTCTTCTTTTTAATTTTTTTTTTAAACCTTTATTCTACTACACACTTCTCTTTTAATGTTTTAATGGGGAAAATTTTCAAATTTTGAACATGTTATTTTCAAATTTTAGTTACAGGCGATTAAAATTGAAAAATTTTACAATTTCAATTGTTTTGGTGCTAAAATGAATCATGGTTTAAAATCGTAAAATTTTACAATTTCATAACATGTTTTTTCAGTTTGATTAATAAGGATAAATGTTTAATAGGATTATACTTTGAAACTGTAACATTTTATAATTTCAAAACTTGTTTTTCAATTTAATTAATGTTGGAGATTATTTACTTAAACCCTACAAAAATTGAGAAATAACATTTTTTTTTCTTCTCATTGTTGTTATTTGTTGTTATTATGTTTTTTTTTTCCTTTCAGTTTATTAATATTTAACACATTTTGCTATGTTTTTTCGTTCT